TATGTCTCCTCTTGTGGAAAATAATTGGGGAATTTCACATCTTTTGCAGACTTGAGGGGTAGTTCAATTTGAATCTTTCACAAATTGGTATCCACACCTACACACCCTCCCCCCCAAACCTATTTTTAATTATTTGGCATAATCATTTGTTGTATTAAAGAGACAGAAAATGCTGGAAAGACTGTTGATGACTTGAGGTGGTGGCATTCCCAGCAGAAAGGCGTGAGGAGTGCTGATAGCCCTTGCAGAGGTGAAGGGAACGAGGATCAGTGCTGGGGTCCACCCAGAATGTAATCAGGTAGGGCAGAGAAAGGAGCACTTGGCAGACTGCCATATGGGGCCTTTCTGCAAGTAAAAGGAAGATCAGCATTTGACTCTGCCTGTAATGGCAAGGTGCTGTGTCTGCCTGGAATTAGAGTAGGAATGGAGTGAGATCATCATGAACATACTGTAATGGGGTGCTCACCACACACTCAGGTGTGTCCATAGCCTTACAGGATAGGCAGTAAATTCTTTTCACACAAGGTTACAGAAAAATAAGTAGTGCCAAAAAAGAAAAGCAATACAGACTCTAGTACATTACCTGTGGTCACACAAGATGTGATGTCAAGTGTATTTAAGTCTTTCTGTAAAGGTGGTTGTGTCAAGGTATTTGAGGTAGAGGTGGCATTGCCTTGAAGTACATAGAAATTCAGACCTACTGAATTTTCTTTTGAATGGGTAGTTGCATCCTTCAGTGCACAAATACACTGTTTGTAATTACAAACAAACACAAAACCTGACCAGCAAAACCCAACACCTTATTTTTAGGAAAGTTTTCCACCATGTCAGTGGATATACAGTTTGATTGGTAGCCATAGCAAAGGATCCAGTTTTGCTTCTGTTTCGTCTTCACTGAGTTCCTGGTTGCACATACAGGGCTGTTAAAGTTTTAGCTGTTTTCTGAGTCGAATCATCTGTGTTCTCTCTGTGTTTTGAGCAGGGTTTTATTGTAATTTAGCTTTCTTTACAAGTAATGTAATATTAAACATTCTGGCATCACTGTCTGCTCTTGCAGTAGAATATTTTTCCTGGTGCAGATCACTGAAAAAAGGCATCTTGCCTTTTCTTGTTGCAGGTGTCAGTAAGCTCTAGTGGTACAGTGAGGGTATTTGGGGGGGGTTAGGGTTTTCTGTGTTCTAAATGCTTAATCATGGCATCAGACACTGGCTTTTGTGGTTCTTTGCAAGTGTTGCACTTGATGGTTTTTATTGTCTCCTGAGGTGTAGCCATGTTATATGTGGAGCCCTGGCTTATTGTGACGTAAAATATAACATGGGACTGAAGTTATATTTCTTCCAAGTCTTCCTCTTCCTCCCTCTACTGTTCCTCAGATCTAGAAAACAGTAATTCTCAAGTGTGTGAGAAATAAAATTGAAACATGATCAGTGATTATTTAAAATGTATACTTATGTTAGTTTAAGGAAAGAAATCCATCTGCAGCAGGTGGACTAAAATTCCTTGATGTTCCTGGCACTGGTGGTAGTCAGTAGGAACATTACTTGGGTATTTCAGTCCCACTAGTTAAAGATGCTGAAGAATGGTCATGCAGGTGATAGGATCAATGCAGCATGGGATCCAACAAACCAGAAAGACAGCATTTTTTACTGTTACAGGTAATGTTGAATAGTTTCTTCCATGTCTTTGTCAGTGTGTGTACTGATACCTGGATATATCTACCTATGTATTGCATGAGATAGATTTACCAATCTGGTTAATGCCAGACTGACATGCTTTTTTTTTATCAGCTTTGCCATGTGAAGTGTGGAAAGCGTGTGTTCATCATGGAAATGATATCTTGCATTCACCAGTCAGAAATTCTAATTTTAACAGTGGAGAAGTGCTTTGATCCCTGCAAGTGAATTCCAGCTAATGATGGTACCAGCACATTGGTTCAGAAATGGCAGTTTTCCAGATTTGACTTGCTTGTTCTTGTGGTTAGGACATGAAGAAGGGTTTTTTTGGTACTGTGATGCCCTGTAAAAAGAAAAACAAACCAAACCAACTAGGTAAATTGTAATGCAGAATTTTGTTTTTAGTTTTTCTTACGTTATAGTTTTAATGTAGTGAGATGTTCTGCAACAATTGAATTGAGTTGTGTGATGTGGTAGCTCTACTTTCCATGGAGTAAATGTGGAGGATAGCTTTTCACTGTTACTTGGGTACATCTTGTTTTCTGACAAGAAATCCAGTGTTATGTGAAGTTATTTTGGCAGAGTTTCTTGACAGGTTGTGGCTTGCTCATTGTGATTAGCTTAGGATAATTAGTACTAATAGGCTCACAAAGAGCAGCTTACTCAGTTCGGGGCTGTTGGAAGTTGCAGAGAAGTTTTTTGTTGTTTGGGTTTTTTCCCTTTTTTTAATGTGGCAAAGTAGCATAAATGGGGCAGCTTAGTGCTCAGTGCAGTGCATTTACCAGCTATATTAAAATAAGAATTAAAAATAATCTGTGTTTGTACACACATGCATGCTTTGCTGGACTGGGGGAGCTTAGCAGAGTTTCAGGGCTCTGAATAAAACAGCCTTTCTAGCCTTCATCCTGCTGCATGTTCCCGGTGGATGGGATGCTGCTGGAAGGGAGAGGGACTGGGTGAGGCCCTGTGGGCACTGTGGTCCCCCCACGGAGTCAATCCCTCCCTGTGCATGGGGGGCTCCCCAGGGCCTGCCCACGGAGCAGTTCTGCCCTGCCCCTGCTGCTGGAGGGGAGGGGGTCCCAGCACCCCCTGCCCCACTGCAGTAGGGGGCCTTTGTGGGTGGGCACCATCCCCACAAAGGAGGAGCTGGATCTGCTCCTGGGGAGCTCCCGAATGAGGCCCCAGGCAGTCAGTCATGCAGGTGCCATGGTGGTGTCGGCCCAAAGCAGGACTGTGCTTAGGGCCACGTCTGCTCAGAGGGGCACACCAGGTGATGTTGTGCCCATCGGTAATAAACAAGTGGGCAGGGGTTTGTTTTTAATTTGGCGTTTTTTTTCCAGTGAAGTTTGGCATAATCTTTTAGAGATTAAAATAACGATGTATTATGAAATAGCTCCATGAAAAAAAGATCTCCCTGACTTTCTTGCTTTACACTAATTGCCATGGAAACTGCTTGTCTCGTCTTACGTGTCAAACTCTTTTTCTGTTCCATTGGAACTGTTTGATGAATGTCTTGGTCACTTGATGGGAAGTGTACTTTCTAGGCAGCTTGATGAAAGTGTATTCAATAACTGATTAACTTACAGGGATCCAAGTGAGAGCTGACCAAAGGTTTTGTAAGGGAGCTTTTTTGTTTGGGATGCCCAGAATACACTGAGTATTAATTAGAAGATCCTTGTTCTGTTTTGGATCCAGTTAAAGCAATTATAACCTTATAAGTAAAGCAAATTGCTGGTGTGCCAAATACAAATGCAATTTTTGTTGACTAGGATTTCTACTATTTATTTTTATATTCTCTTTTCAGCACCTAAGTAGCCTTAGATAGTTTACAGTAGATGTCAAGCTCTCTTGTTCATTATAGAGTAAGCTTGGTTTTGTGTTTGCATACTTTCCTACTTCTAATCTCGGCATAGAATCTTGCATCTCATTGGTTCCAAATATATTTTAAATACCTGATCACTCTCAGACTTTTGCAGATGGGTAAGTAATTTTATCAACACGTGAAATCAAAAACTAAAACCAAACCAAAAATCCAATAACGTTCAGCTGGTTTCTGGAGAGAATTTATCTTAAAGATAATTTGGGAATTACCACATTATTTTAATAGATGTACACTGAATTCTTTCAGAAGTTATACAGGTACTTGCATCTTTAGCAGTCATGGGTTACTGTGGTTTATATTTGCACTGAATATTCCAGTGCAAAATGCAATCATAGTTTCTGGGACAGGAGCCAAGGATTAGGCTTCCTTCTGTCATCTTCCAATGGACAGTACATATCACTGTGATACAGTCATGTTTGCTTTTGCTCTGTCCTTTTCTATGGAAGGCTGAAAAATACTGCATTTAATCAAGTGTCAGTGGTAGGATGTTGTGTAATGGTTTTATGTGCTTTTCTTTACCTGGGTTATATCTCTGGCTTCTGATAGCACCCTTATATAGCTAGACTATTCTATAAAAATTGAATTTCTGTCATCATTTGGTTATGGTTTTGAGTTAGAAAGGTTTTGAAGATGGCTCTCTCTTCAAGCATCTGATTTCCTCAGTACTTTTTGACAATGTCTGTGCGTGTCCTTAAGTCTCAGGTGCTCAGTCTTAAAACAGAATCATGTACTCTTTTAGGCTGGGATTGTACACCAGAGTAATGAAACAAGTTGAAGCTGGTAACATCTGTGTAACTGGTGAATTCCAGTGAGGTTGCTGGGTCTCTGAGGTAGATTGGTAAAGCAGGTGGATGTGTTAGGCAAAGACTTGATAAATCTGAATAGAAGGCTTGGTTTTGTTTTCAAAAATCTGCAGCAGAAAGCATTTTCACCTTGAGGAGTCTGTTGTAACAGGATCCATGTGTGAATGAATGCTCTGTGTGGAGTTCCCTCATGTATCAACTATGTTTTTGAAGCACCAATTGCTTCCTGCCTGGTTTAGATCCAGTTTAATAATTATATCTCTTCACTCAGTTTTCATCTTCCCGGCCACCCTTTCCTTTCCAGATACAAAACTATAATTCCCTTAAGCAAGTGAAACTTAATTTTTTTTCCTAATGCATTGCTTAGTCATCTTTGCCAGCTTTCCTTTGTAGCCCAAAGAGCAGTTTTTAATGCCGCTCTCTTAAAAATATAAATGCTAAAATGCCCTGTAATTTTTAAGAATCAGAAAGTATTAAAGAAAACCTCTTTGTATGCATTGTTGTGCACTGTGCATTATATATGTATGCTGGAGGCGTATTTACAGCTACAGACATTGTATTGCTTATTTCCTGGTTTTATTTTCAAAATAGATAATGGAATTAGATGAAACAAAAATAGTAATTTTAGTTTTTTCTTTACAGGGTTGATCTTACTGTTCTATCTGGTGTTCTATGGCTTCCTAGCAGCACTCTTCACATTCACAATGTGGGTTATGCTTCAGACACTGAGCAGTGATATACCAAAATACCGTGACCGGATTTCTAGTCCAGGTAACACTGTATTTATTTTTTCATAAACCTCTGTCTGATTTAACAGCTAAGTTTCATTTGAGAGCTTGTTGGAAGTGTGAACGACTTATGGGAAACTGTGATTATTCCTCAGTTACTTGCAGGTGCAAAGGTAAAACCTGATGTGAGGCAAGTGATATATGCTTATAGCATAAATTCAGTCAGTAGCTTTTTGTGTGTATGTGCTAACTTTTGCTGTGTTTTCCTCTAAGTTCTTTTCAGTTGAATTTTTCCTGTATCTAGAACACAATTTTACCTGCAAATCCAGAGAACATGCTGTTGAAGAAGTGGGATTATAATTTAATCAAATTGTTTTAAAGGTACCATAAACCAGTTCTTTTGGCTCAGATGGACAGCCACCTTGATTAGTGTTTGGTACTTTGAAGAAGGTACAGGAAGGCTGTGCTGTGGGTGTGATCTGTGTAAGGACTGTGGGCTGGAGGCCTTTCTGGAGTTTTTAGTACAGAATTAGGTAGTTTTCAATTGACATGGAATGTCTGTGGATTTCAGGGCTCGTTGGCCTGTTCTGTAGGGATCCACTAAAGAGAGAGGGTCCTGTTGTGTGATGAAGCCAAGTCCATGTAACATGTAGCTGCCACTAAAGGTGGTGTCTTGCTTCCTGGAGCTGATGCTCCTTTTGTTTATGTGCCCATCTGGTCCCACTGCTGGCTGGTTCAGAGAGCTGTATGTGACAGACAAAAACCCTACACAAGTAAGAACGACTAATAGGGTGGTTGTCTTTTTTTTTTTTTCCCTTCCACCTTTTTTTAACTTTTTTTTTTAAATTGTTTAAAATGTATCACAAAATTCTGACATAGGCTCTGTTTTGGTATATCTCCATATTGGAAAAATATTAAGAATTTTCACTCTGAAAGATTTAAAAATGGACTCTGTGTACTTTAACTACACCAAAGAGATTAGTGTGTTCTAGGTACTGTTTCTGGAGAATGTGTAAGTATTTGATTTGTATATGCAACTTAAATGGTCTGGCCACTTGAACATTCGATATCTCAGTTTTTCTAATAACTTGTCGTAGGGATCAAATTTATGTTTAAAACACAAAACTAAATGGTGCAATATTAATATTTTGGTGGAAGTGAGACAACTTTATTTTTAAAAATACTCTCCCCTTTCTCTAAACTCAGAACTCTTAAAATTGACCAACATCTTGTAGCTGCATCCACACTTAAGATGATACAGTAATCTTTGTGTGAGCAAGTTGCAGTTGGACAATGTGATAAACTTCTCTGGATTCTGAACAGAATTTGTGTGGTGTAGTATTCTGGCCTTCTCTAACAAGTGTTGTCTTGTAAGGGATTTTGAGGATTTGTGTTGTGTTTCAAGCTAAGAATGGGCTAGATGCTGCAAAGAATAATTTAAAAAAAGAAAAAAAAATGAGGAAAAAAAGAAGGTGGCTTATTTGACCATTTCTCCCCATTTCCATTGTGGAAGTCAGAACCTTGGTAGTGGATGGAACTGTGAGGAGCTGTGAGTTAATGCTGGACTTGAGTGACATTTCTCTCTTGCAATTCAGGGTATTTTCCTTGACTTTGAAATAAGTCATAGGGGATGTTTGTTTAAAAAGTTATGTATGCCACAATTAGTTTTTAATTTAAGAATTCCTGTAACATTTCTGAATTAAATCTTTTTATTAACCATGTCTTTAGTAACTCATACATAAAAGTTAATAAAGTTGCTTGTCTCTGTTTCAGTGTTCCTCTTTAACTCTGTCATTTTTCACTTGCAGTGAAACATGTAATGTTCCGGGCTGTAAGACTTTAAATTATAAAAACAAATTCTACATACAAAACCTGGATGGCGTAGGTCAATGGTTTTACTCTTGTTAAACATATTTGGAAATCTCACAATTGATTTATTTTATAATTTTTATTTTACTTGCTTTGTACACTGGGATATAAATCAAATCCAGATGATTTTTTTAAAATCCCTCTTGGAATTGTAATATAATGTAAAATCTCTCTTACAGTCTTAGATGTGATCCTGTGCTGAGGCTGTTAATTCTGATCCTTTAGAAGAGCCCAAATCCTGCATCTCTCTCAGTCTATGCATCAGTCCTTCATATAGCTTTTTCTGTAGAATTTACACCATAGTCTTTAGGCAGACTGTGATGCACTGAAATTCAAGTAGTCCTTTCCTCCTAGGGTGTTTCTGAAGTTCCACTGAAGCAATAAATCTCTCCAAATGATTGTTTCATTCACTGATGACTAGTTGAATTATTTTGTCATTACTCCCTTTGAAAAACACATAGATAATAATAATAATCTCTTATCCCTCAAAAGCCTTTGGTGTGTAAAACCCCTTCAGTGATTTTTCAGCCCCACTAATAATTGTCTTGTATTTTGTTGAATCCCAGATCAGTGTAAAGGCCAGAAAACGTAATGGTACAAAGTAATCTGCAGTTAAAATAGTATTTGTAGGTTTACATGGACTGTCAGTCATTGAAGCATTTAGTTGTGGCTTCCATGGAAATAATTTAACTGCTGCTATTGCAGAAAAGAGGATCTGTGATTTATTGGGAATCTTAAAAAAGACCTAGAGTAAAAAAGCATTAAATTATATCTGGATTTTTTTTAGAATCTGAGAGATGTTCGTGATAAATGTTTAGTATATATCTTTATTATTTCCCAGTTGAAAGTATTTGTAAGTGAATCCTGCCTTCATTTGAGAAGCTTGGTCATTTCTGTAGGTGAAGCCTTAGACCTGCACTTTTGGTATGCTTTCAAAAACCTTACTGTGATTGATTAACTGCAGTATAACATGTTAAGAATCCAACATTAAGACATATTTTCCATCTTTATCTTCCCACTGCGCTCTTATCATCTTAAATGTTTAGTTTATATTCAGAAGGCCTGATTTATTTAATTTTTTTTTGGGAGATGAATTTTGTTTTCTACCTTAAATTCTATTCATTTGGGAATCTAGTTTTAATTGGTTTTGCCAGATAATAGGAAACTACATGGCATCCTAAGCTGATACAATTGGTTGCTTTAATTGCAACTTCTTTATGCCAAATTTGACTTTGATCAAACCATTTTAATATTCTAACTTAGGAAAAAGTTAATCTGATAAAATATAGGTTGGTATTTTGGGGGTTTTTGTTTGTGGTTTTTTGGTTTGTTTGGGTTTTTTTTTGGTGGGACTACAGTGTCAGTTCTCAGCTATACTTGAAGAGACAGATGCATGGACACTCACTTGTTAATCACAGCTGCTGGGTTTTTATCTGTGCTAATTATTTATATTAAATAAAAATTACCCTAAGGTGCTGTGAATAAAGCAATCAGTCACACACCCTTTTTTGAAGAGGTTTTGAACTCTTCTGCAGTGTCTGGTGGTGTGGTGCTATTTCATCTGCTGCTGAAGCTGTGGTGAATAATAGAAGCATTGGCTGTCTCTGTTAGTGACAAACTCCTGATGGCACAGGCTGGGTATTAGCAAGGAGTGTGTCTTTTGCTTTCACCTGCTACAGAAAAATCCCTAAGATTTAACACTGCACCTTTCTTGAGCCATGTGCTGGGAGGAAGGACAGTTCATTCAGCTCTGTCAAGGGCCCACACTCCACGTGTGCCTTTTTCATCACTCCAGCCCTTGGCAATCCATGTCCGTGTTTGTGCTGCCAGCCCTGGCTGCCTGGCTGGGGGGTTCCTGCTCCGGTACCCAGAGCCAGCAGCCAAGTGGAGCCATAGTCCCACTGGGAATGCTGGTGCTGCTGGGCCTGGAGGCAGCTCCAGAGCATTCCTGGGGCCTGGCTGAGCCATCCACCTCTCCAGGGACACGGCCCGGGGCTTCATGAAGTGTCTTGTGTTCTCGTGAAACAGATGGTGCCTAAACTTTCTGTTTGAGGACATGGAGGAGAAGAACAGAAACCACCTTGGCTTGTCTGTTTTGGTTGGGGTAACTTTCAAGCCATCTTTACGCACAATCAAGATTTTTAAAATGCTTTTTTGTGTGAGTTTCTATGAAAAAAATACAATCATAGCTTCACTCTATACTGCCTGAAACTTTGAACCATTGCTTGAACTGAAGGCTTTCTGGGTGTGGTTTTGGGTATTTTTTCGATTATTTAAGTTTAATTTGCTGAGTATGGAAAATAGGAAGTGAATTGGTAAAAATCTTTGATTAAAGCTGATTAAGCTGCTAATTTCGCTTTTCCTAATCACTTGGGTTTGCTTTGTGAATTGCAGCTATGCACTGGGTTGGATTTAAATATTAATTAATGTAATGTTGATTTTGATAAGTGGCTTCAAACACAAACTACCTTCCAGTACTGTGGAATGTAGGGGTAACGCTGATGTTTCTTTACAGATGGACATTTTCCGATTTATGGGTATATTGAATAGGTTGGAGTGGTGTAGGAAAGAGAAGTCGTTTAGTTCCTAACTTTTACTTTTTCTTTTTAAGGACTTATGATCTCACCAAAGCCAGACACCGCACTGGAATTTTACTTTAACAAGAGTGACAGCCAGTCATATTTGGAATATGTTACTACACTTAAAAGTTTCCTTGAATGTAAGTTACTTCAAACTCCACAAGTAATTCAGGAATCTTTGTCTTGAGAACATTACTTTCATTTTTTGCCTGTAGTTACTAGTTGCTAATGGAGACTTGTGCAAGTCCAGGATTACTACAGATATGTGTGTTATTAAAGTATATACTTTGCAGAAGAAGGTAAGTATTGATGCCTATATTGGACAGGGAGCCCTGGGCAAGAGGAATAATGGAGTACATAATGGAGAGTTTTGTCTCCTAGTCCAGTGTTTTGGTGTCATGGTTATTTAAATACTGTAAGTAGAAATTACATATGCCAAGAGAATATAATGTAAAATAACATACATCATGTATTTGGAGACAAAGTTTGTCAAGACTTACCTAATTAATCTAAATCATTTCATAACTGAGAATCCCGTAGCCTTAAGACCTTAAGTGTCTATTTGAAAAAATAAGGCACACAAAGATTAAATTAATTGCAATTTGTTACTTTTCACCCCGATACATAGTATTTATGGGCAGTGATATTAAAATACTGAATTTAGAACATGGAGAAAAGGTAACACAGGCAAGACTGAAGGATGGCAAAATCATTAGTTTGTCATGTGTTATTCTATGTATGTGCCTGCATGTACACTTATTCTAATAATACAGAAATCAATTAAAATATTAGTAAGTTTAACCCCTTAAAAGTTGTAAATCAGAATTGAGAAGGTGCTGTGTGCATGAGTTGCTTTGTTAGCTACACAAGCTATTCTTGAATCTCTCCATATTCATAGTTTTGGTGCCTATTAAAAGCTTCTATGAGTAGGATTTTCTTTCAGAGCTCAGCCAAGGCTCCTGGGAGGAATGCTGCATGTCATGATTACCTGCCTCCTGCAGTTTTGTGGGTCTTGCATGGAGGATGAACTTTCCCTTTCTCCATTTTACTTTGTTAATGAGGTGGGGTGGAGGGTAAGGGAGGGGAAAACCCCACAAAAAATCCTTAATGTGAATAGATTAGCATTTGTGGCAGTGTGATCTGTGTACTTGCAAAACACAAAGAAACAATTTGGGATCTTATACTACCTGATGTAAATGTAGAGGCCATTTAATATTACTTACTGAAGTATTTGAAGTTTTCCTGTGCGTTTGTAAAAGAAACGTGTGCAAACAGAAAACTGGTTCAGTTTCCAGGTAAAAAATTGACTGTTTATATTTTAATACGTTATTAGTTTAGAACATGTAATAAGTTTATGTACAGGAATTTATGAAGTTGTGACTATTGTTACAATTTGAAAAGCAAGACAGTATTACTTCTTTTGTAATACTCTTTTTATTCTTTCATTCAAGTGCAGTGCCACTTCCTGATAAGACTTCAAAAAAGTGTTTAAGATGGATGTAAGAGACAGTGCTCTGAAAATAGTTCTTTGAGAGAACTCTTTGACAAGTAACACTTGTCAAATTATATACTTATATAGGCATCAGCAGGCTTTGGCTGCTTATTTGTTTTCTACCAATTGACTTATAAGCTATTTCTGTTTCATAGCATACAATGAGTCAAAGCAGTCCCAAAACATAGATTGTACACCAGGGAAGATTTTTGAGCAAAATGATGTTGCTGTTAAAAAGGCCTGTCGATTCAACCTCTCTGATCTGGGGCAGTGCTCTGGAAAGGAAGATACGAATTTTGGGTATTCCAAAGGAACTCCCTGTGTGATTGTGAAAATGAACAGAGTAAGTGCCTGCTTCTTTTTAATTCTTAGTATAAGTTCTCCCAAGTACTGCTGTATGAAAAATGTGTGAAATATGTGTTCAGTTTGCTACTTGAGATATCTGCATTTCTAGAATAGTGTAATTTACTGAAAGGTCTGGCAATTCATGTTTTCAGAGAGTAGAGTGAAGTGAGCTTTTTGAGCTTTCTAATACTTAGAAGTATTGGCTTTGACTACTTGCATCAAAATATCTGAATCCCCTGTTTTAAGAAGTAATTTGCTTTTTGCTTTTGCTTACTGTTCTGTAAAATGGATTCTAGGCCACTCTGCAAGTAAAGTATGTTTTACTTCATATGTGTGGTGCAGAAATCTAGCTAGGATGTAATGCATTCTGTAACTCCTAAACTATGAAAGGTGATGAAAACTGCACTAAGTATTTGACTTTTCAGTGATGTTGCACATTACTTGAATTGCTAATTGGTTGAACCATTAATGCTACATGCTGAATATAAAATAACAGTCTTTTCTATGGCTACTGTAACTATTTGAGTTAATTTGAGTAAACTGTTTAACTTAACAATACTTTAAATCTTTGTCCTAATTTAAAATTGTGTTCAGGTAAAAATGACACTGAATAGATTTACTCCCTGTATGAACGCTGTCATTTAATGAGGTGAAAAGTCAAATTCAGTCTGTAAAATTGGAAAGAGGGAGAAAGATCTGTAAATATTGTAACCTTCTCTCCTCTAGATAATTGGATTAAAGCCCGAAGGAGAACCACGTATACAGTGTACACCTAAGGTCAGTCCTGAATGTAAGAAATAAGTGTGTAGTTAATTTTCCTTATGAGTAGGATGAATAGTGAAGTAATTTATTTCACTCTTTCCTTCTTGTTAGAGACTTTGTATTTTTGTTTGTTTTTCATCTTGCTGTATGTCTAATTTAGTTTTAGTGTCTTTAATTTCTTCAGTGTACTTATAAAAATATTTTTCAGTTGTTGTTCATTCATCTTTAGATGTGTTTTAGCTACCTGTTTTTTGCTGTAGAGTGGTGGAAAATACATACATGTTATTTGTGGTCTTATTTATTTATTGTGAGTTATATTTTGTTTTCTCATTTCATAACCTATATTTTTATTTTTTCTCCATGCTGCAAGTGCACCTTAGACAGTTTTGTAAATGATGGGTAAGACACTGTGTGTGGAAACTAATGTTACTGCTCAAGTAGAAATTGCCTTCAAATCAAGTATAAACTACTCACAATAACAGCTAATTATGCATATTTGTTATGTACCAATGGATTTCTACAGAATGTTTTATGGTAATTATAATAATTACTGACTGCTGGGGGAGCAGTGAAAGCCTTGGTAAGTTTGTAGCTTGAGTGAAGGGCGCAGTCCTGGCTTTTAGCTGGAGGTGACTGGTAAAAATGTGGGCTGGGAAATGTCATCAGTTAACGAGACAAATACTTGTAAGGTTTCTGCTTTCTTCCTGGGTACCTGGGGGAGGCATAGATTTTAATACTTGATTTTTGTGGAGTCTTTGAAAGTTTTGATCTCTCCATGACAGTCCATTGCAAGCAAAGGTGATTCCTTTTCTTATTTGAAACTGATTTCTTTGCTTCCATTCTCAAAAAAGACGTTTTTCTCTTGAAGGAATTACTTGGTTTTTAAAATAAAGCAATTAAGCTTGTTCTAATAGTCTCTTTCTTCTTTGACTTGTCTAGTTTATAATTTTTTCATAATGTGATAACCCAAACTGGACAGAGGTTGTCCTCTAGCTGAGCTATGGTTAATGGCACAGTTTCTCCCTTTGTAATCACATTGGAAATAATAAAAGTGTCTCAAGGTGAATTTGCTGTTTGTAATACACTTAGTCTTTATTTTAATTGTTCTAATATTTAGATCTTTCTTTCGGTTATTTCCCAGTCTGTATTTGTAGATGTCAGTTCTTGAAGTTGAATTTCATATTACTATTTTTGGTCCTTGCTCTGTAATTTTTTATCATCATTTTAAAGGGATCGAGTTCTCTGAAGTGTTTTGCACTACTTACAGCCTGTGCCCATCAGTGAGTTAACTTAGTTTTGCATCTCACAAGTCCTTATTGAAAATACTGAATGAGATCCATCTTCATTTCCACCTGAAATGCCTTGTGGTGTGTTGAGAGCTAATGTTCAATAGATTTATAAAACATTGATGATAATCCTATTTTATGATGATTCTATTTCTTCATCTTTTTTGTATGGATGCTCTATGAGACAGTGGTAGAAGCTGTAGTAAGCAAATTACAGACGATCCTTTTTCTATCCTCTTGGCTGGTTTCAGTAGGAAAGGAATAAGTTTGATAACAACTTGGTTGATAATGATGGGCTTTTTTACTATTATGTTTACCCTTTGAGATACTTTGAAATAAATAATATGTATTTTTTTTCTATAAGTACAAATTACTTAGCGAATTTATTTAATAAAGATAGAATATAGTTAGAAGTTCCCTGATGATGAGCTAAGCAGGGTCGTCCTAGAGCACAGGATTGGGTCCAGACAGTTCTTGAATATCTCCAGTGAGGGAGACTCCAGCACCTCTCTGGGCAACCTGTTCCAGTGCTCAGTCACTGCACAGTAACAAAGTTCTTCCTCATGGTCAGGTGGAACTTGCTGTGCATCACTGTTATGTGTACTGAGAGCAGTTTGGGCAAGTGTCTGCCTGGACTGAACACCATCTGACTTTTAAATGGAACTTTAGTTTTTACAAGTCTCTCACATACAAAATGAGGTTAATAGCTTCTCTCTGCACATCCTGCCAGTCTTTGTCACCTGAAATATCATTTAAATTTTTCAGTGTGAAATCCATGTTCTTCAGGCATTCTCCTGTGAGGCAATTCTTCTTTCTTCTCCCTGTACTTTTTCTATGGGATTTTTTTTAAATGGAAAAACTAAAAAGGTAGATCTGTGATTTCAAAGTCAGCACACTTACAGTTGGAGATGCTTCTGCCTCTGCCCTTTTAGTAGTGTCCATCATCACAGTATTTTCTGTAGGTTCTGTTTGCAGTGTCAGACACTAATTACAGCTGGTTCTTCCCTCTGCACCCTGGAGGAACTGATCTGCTGTAGTCTTGCTGATCTCCACGAAGAGAAACAAACCAACACAAGATGGTGTTTCCAAGTTTGAAGATCAGCGTTTTAGGTCTTTTGTTTGAGGCTGGAGATGTGCAGTTTCATGTGCACTGGAACATTTTTTTGCAGTATTCTTTCAAGTTAAAACTTACCTCTATTGAAGACTGGTAGATTTGATGGGAGTTTTTTTTTTTTAACTAAAGAAAAAAAGCCTTAATTCCAAAATACATTAATTTCTTCTGTTTAGTGACCATCTTGACTTTGTACTAGGTATCACTTTCTAGTGTACAAGAACGAAGAATGGTTGTATGAACGACACTACGTGCCTTGCTCCTGTCAGCATAGTCAGGATCTGAGTTAACCTGCTTTTTGTGACAGAAATCTTTGTTGGTTTACAGTTTCCACTAATGCATACTGCTCTTTATCTTGTGCAGTGATACCATTTCTTCTTCTCAAGTTATTAAGACCATTCCTGCCCAAGTTCTTTCCTTGGGTCTTTGAATATTATTTTAATATCTGGAAAATTATTTTTTCTAAGACACAGTTTTAATAAAGACCAAGTTAGTGAGGTAAAAGTCCATCTGTCCAGCTACATTTTCTGATTTTAGATTTGCTGACTGTCAGCAACTCTTCGTGGAAACTAAAGGGTAAGCAGATAAAGTGACACTCCCTAGTGGACTGATTCTTGGAGTTCTTCACCAAAGCAGCTTGTTTAGGTGTTTTTTGGTTTGTTTTTATTTAATTGTGTAGGGATATTAATTAGAATTATTAAAATCCCAAACCCCACAGCAGTTGCATGAGACAGGCAGCTGCATGTCCCAGAACCCCTCTGCTATTGCACTGGTAGCCTAATGCCTATATAGTTCTGACTGCATGCATGCCTTGTGTTTAGCTGCTCCAGAAAGCACTATTTATCTTTCCTGTGTTATTCTGATTTTTTAACCGTTATTTCAAAAATATATTTGAAAAATTAGTATTTTCAGCTGCATGAGCTTCAAATAAAGTATAATGGTGAAAAGCAACACATTTCTACTTAGAGATTATATTTGCTAGCTTAAGGTTCAAAATACTTAATAAACATATATTGAAGAATTGCAATAATTTAGACTGCAAAGGAACGGGAATGGGGCCATATCCTAAAAAACATATTGTATGTTCTTTTAAGGAGGTCAGAAGAAGGTAATCTTAAACTGTGGTTTGTTCTTTACTATTTTTTGATCTTACTGGAGTTGTCTTCTGAACTTTGTAGAGTACCTGTTCAAAATCACAGCTGTTGTATGTGGTAGTATAGAAAAAGCCATGACAGTTGCTGATACACTTTGAACTTGTGTATTACACTGAACAAGCAGTGATGGTCTGAAGATACATTTAGTATTGGGGGGATCGTTTTAATGGCATTTCCCTTGATTATGCAATATATTTATCTTATTACAGAAAGTCATGTTAGATGTGGGCATTTCCTAGTGATTTGACATCCTGCCAGGATACACAATCCTGAAGAATACTGTGTGTAGGGAGAGGTGTCTTTGTCTGGACTGCTCAGTCACATCCACATATTTGGTATATCTCACAGATTCCTTAGTCAGAAATTAGGCAGCAACTTTGTAGGTAGCTACTTCTTATTCCCAAATTTGGGATTGTAGGGGACAGTTGAGTGAGAAGGCATGCATGTGTATATGTTGTTCCTCTGAGGTGGTGATGACACACAGAAGTCTAGTAACATCACCATTTTAAACTTGGATTTCTTTTTAGGTGACCTATATTTGAAGGAAACATCCAGGCTTGCTTGTGGATACTTGGGATTTTAGTTATATAGGGGTGATTTTTGGTTGTTAAATTATTCATTACAATGAATGTCCTCTTCCCCCTTTGCCATTTCTTTGACTCATAAGAAAAGCATGATTGCTAATTTAAATAGTACTGTTAATCCTTACTGTAGCAGATGTGTGCAGCATGTAACTATTTGCCAAAAATAAGTGTATTTTAAAAGTTATTCTATAAGTTTGTAGGTCAGTTGCCTTTTTTTTTTTTAGGTATCTTGTGCTTTATCATTGGGTTATAATTCTAATTTTGTGTTCAATTCTATGCAAGCAGATGTTAACTTTTGCTTTTTTTGCTGTCTCCAATTACAGGATGAAGGCATGGTTGCTATAAATTATTTTCCTCCTCATGGCCTGATAGACTTGATGTACTTTCCATACTATGGGAAAAGCTTGCATGTAAGTCTGCCTTAATGATGGTCTTCATGTGGTGAATGTTTTGGTTCTGTTTGCATTTACAGTTAGCAAGATCAGATTGATTCTGAAGTTTGAACTTTGTAATGAGGTACTCATAAGGAATATTTGATATGCAGAAATTGCACAGTGGTTGATGAGATTAGAGATGCTTTCTCAAACCTGAGGAAATAATCTGGGCATTGTCCTAATGAAGAAGTGGCTGTAAAGCATCAGTACTGAGAGCATCTGCTCTTTTTTAGTCACTTGTGGTCCAGGATGGTTATTTGTCTTTTGCTGCTCAGTACAATGAGCCAGACTCACTGACCTTAGAGAATGTTCCCTTTTTTAGATGATTTGATATAGTTAATGAGGATGCTGACCCTCTTCCCTCCTCCCCCAAATTTTTCTTGAGTAAAAGTACATCTGTTTTCAGAACATCATAAAAAGTTGTGTACTTATTCAAAACATCTTGGTGGTTACAAGACTTCTCTCCCTGAGGAAACATGGGAATTTCAGTTCTGATTTTTAGAAAATTCAGTACCTCAAGTGTGGTGTCACCCTTACAGCTGGAGAGTTTTCAGGGTACCTTGCCTTGCTGCATTTCCCCCTCCCAGTCTGAAGTTCATTGGAGCACAGGAAAATTTCTGATGTAGTAAAACCACTATCCAGTGAAAGCAGTTACTTCAATCTACTTCTAGTACTTCATATTAAAGATTTTAGCACATCCCCTTCCATGACATCACTTTTTGCAAAGGAGACTGAGTATTCTGTAGTGTTTCCTCTGGTAGACAAGATGCCTAAAACCAACAGAAATGTATTAAGGAGTCCTTTAAATTAATGAGGGGGAAAAAATCTTAACACAAGATTTTGCTCAATTAAAATTTGAGGCTTATGTTTGTATAATACTGCAGTGTTTTATTTAGTCCATTACTTATGGATTCTTACCAGGAAAATAAATAATTTTGCTTAATCAGCAGTCAGCAGTATTGACCTAAAAATATTAATAAATTATGGAAATACTTTATGAACATTGGATGAAAAGCTGCCTTAACAATGTATAATAAATAAGCTCTTATTTAATTCATAAGCACTTTACAAGAGTAATGGAATTGGATGTGAGGTATAATATTGTGTTGACAAAAAAAAAAATTGGTTCTGCTCTCATTTTTAAATTTTAATTTTTATTATAAGGGAGCAAAGTCAGCAGTTGTAATTGTTCCACCAAATATGACTGACCAGGAAGGATACTGTCAAGATGTTCAAGGAAAGGTCTCTGTGTAAAGCTATCAGAGTATACCTTTTAGAATGGTTTCTTGCTGAACAAACAACAATGGCATAGGGTAGGAGGGAAGCTGGTTCATTGGCATTTGTTGAATCACACTTAAAACCTTGCTAGAAAAGTTAGGTTCTATAGCAATTACACCCACCCATCCCCAAAGCAAACCCAAAACAAGCAGAAGAGACAACAGAATGGATAGGAAGGAAGATACTAATTTCTGAGCTTGTTTCAAGTGGAGGTTTCTAGAAAAATTGGACCTAATATAATAGAAAAGGGTAAAGACATATGCTTCTTGAAGATAGTATGAATTAAATTATCTTTAATAGATTAGTTAAGAAGTAGTATGAAGAATGTTTACCTGACTGACTTGGAAAAAAAAGTGTCTTACCTGAGTCAGGTTGGGCTTTGAAAAGTTGGGTTCTTAATTAGTTTTTTTCCGAACTGTTCTGAAAGATTAGATGTTAATTTAATGCTAACTTACTCTGGTCTCTCAAATATTTTCCCCATCTTTCTGTTTACTAGGCTCACTATTTACAGCCTCTAGTGGCTGTTCAACTAGCAATTCACCCCAACAGTACCAAAGAAGAAATAGCAATTGAGTGCAAGATCCTGGGCTCACCTAATTTAAAAAATGAAGATGACCGTGACAAGTTTCTGGGACGAATTACCTTCAAAGTTCAGATGTCTGAATAGCTGGAGTAAATGTTCTCCACAAAGTAAATGTTGTGTTGTCTGTTTTGTATCAGCTGGACATGCCATTCTTAGGATATGAGACCACCTTGGAGAATGTTAAGGTGGTTTATGGCGTTCAGGGTAGCATAATAATATGCTTCCAAATTGTATGTTTAAAATCCCTTAAAATAAATGCCTATCCTGCTTTTGCCTGCCCCATTGGAACAGTGTACAGACTATAGTTATGTCATAGGGACCTGTAAATAGCTGTTTTCAAACACATAATAATGGTGACCTTTGTCCTGTTCTAAAACGTGGTTTTATCCCCCAAGTGAGTGTCTCAAGCTTAATGTGCTGTGCTCTGTAAATATTGTATTGATTTAACACTGGTTTAACTGTCATATCTCAATGCTGACACAGTTAGAGGGATAAATAATAAATGGTACCTGATTGACATAGTGAGTTCTTTGTAAGAGTAAACACCTCCAACGTAAATCGTGTGGATGGGAGTGGGTGGGTGGAAGGATGGCTGAGTGGAGATGCCTTAAATTGTAGACTGGGTGGCGTGGGAGAATTGAAATGAGTTTTAAGAGTTGGTATGAATTTCTGAAAGTAAGTGCTCAACTAGTACTTCCTTGTGCTTGTCACTGTGCAAGTATTGTGTACATGTAATACTTGGTATAGAGTTTGGTGTTCTAGCTGAGGAATTGAATCTTTCTTTGTGTTGTTAATTGCTTGTAATATGTGGAGCACAAATAAAATCTATACAATATTTTAAAACTTTTTAGTTCAGAAATATTGATAGCAAACAGTTTAAATTGTTTAGGGTCATGGTAACAGTTGTACAACAGAGCTGCTTGAAAAAAGTGGCTTCACTATTGTGGGAATAGGCTTTCATTTTCCAATTAAAAAGTTTTCTGAAGAACCTCTGTTTATGAAAAAAAAAAGGAAAAAGAAAGGATTGTCTTGATTAAACATTCCTGTTTAATTTATATATCTGTTTCGTTGCATCATTTTAACATCTCATGTCTTCATCTGCTCTTTCATCTTGGACTTTGTGTGTATTTCATCATCATCCATTTAGAAAATTGGTATCATCAGCTGCTTCATAGAAATATCCTGTTGAGCTGCAGTGGATTACCTGCAGTGTAACTCCAAAGGCAGTTGCTAAAATGCCTACAAACAGACTGGTTTATTTGTGCCTGATGCTCACATTAAACCAGGCTGACCCATTCCATTGGGCTGTAACTTGGGCAGCTGTGCTGACATGTGATTTATGCTACTCTTCCCCAGGGTTTTGTTTGGTTTGGTCTTGGGGGGTGTGTTTTTTTGAGCACATGGTCCACATTCTGATGTCTTCTTAATATTAAAGACCACAGCGAATCCGCATTTGTGTAAATACCTGTACGTTCTGCTAGTTAGGCCTAAATTTGTTACTTAATAGGCTTTTGTACCTAATTGTTACAGTGGTTTTTAATATTTTATTTAAACAAATTAAATGAAGGATTTCTAAAATTAAAGATCCAATCTTATTGCCCTGCTTTAAAAAAGTTTGAGTCCAGTCTAAGCCACATTAGTGAAAAACTTTTAACAGCTGTGCAAGTTTACACTGGTGCACAGTTGGAGGAAGCTGCTCTTAATGGGACTTGAACAGTGTCTTAAACCTCATTAAAAATAGATTTATACTGATCTGATACCATTCAGCATGCTTTTTTGTTGTCTACAAAAGAAAGTTGTTGTTCCTACAATATGCAATGGATATTTTTGTAATAATGGCATGCATTAATACTGAATGAGATGTTCTTTTAAAATATTCCATTACTAATGTTTTAAATGATGCACTTTTAGAGCTGGGATACCTGGCTTCTTGAAGATATGACTAATTGCTTCTCTGTGTATTAATACTGCCTGAAAGTATTTTAATAGTTGTGAGGGAACTTAAATGTAGATGTTGCATCTGACAATGAAAAGGATTCACTTCATGTAAAAACTTTTCACATTTGTGTTCACTTAGGAATGGTAAGAACTTCTGGAAAAACACTCAGTTTTCAAATGAGTTTGTTTTTTGCAACAATTTCTCTTTTGACTTATCTATATAGACAAAGCATGAAATGGCAACTCTTCACCAGCACTTTTCAGACAGGTAAAACTCAATAAACTCCTGTTCTCCCTAGATTCTGTACAAGTGTTTGTTGTTTTGGTTTTTTTTTAAATTTAAACACATAAGGATTATCAGTTGGGGGAGGGGGGAGAAATAAATTTTTGAAAGGGTACAGCTATCAAAATTAGCATGTAAAACCTAAGTAGGTAATGAGTGAGTCTAGTCTTTTAAACTATTTAATTAAACTGAACTGGTTCTCATATTTATTTGTGGGTTTCAAGTAAGTAAATGATGCAGCAGTTACCTAATAGTAAACAGGTGTATAGACTGTTAGGATAGAATACAATTCCTGATTTCCTTCATGTGAATTTTACAGTAAATTAGACTTCATTATAAATTTTGATTAAAGATATAAATTTACTACTTTGTTATCAGAAACCTGAAATGTTTAACTTTTATACTGTTAAATACTTACTTATTTGGTAACTTTTAGTGTCTTTTAATTTTAAACATTGTGAAATTGCCTGTTGTTGCAGGTTCTGTTTTTCATACCACCTTGACAACCCCCTGGTGTCCAAGTCAGTTGAGGTACCTTCTCCCTGCCATCCCTCCCGTGAGCACCCCCCGGGGTTAGAGGGGAAGCTGGAGACAAGATTGTTGAGACACCAAGTCAGCTGCAGGCTCTACTTACATCCATCATGCAGTAGATAAGATGATCCCTTGAGGACAAATGACATTCAGCCCTGACTTGCAGTTACTTCCAGCTGGGGATGATGCTGCTTCTAGGACACTAGTAATGAAAAGCCTTTCCTTTTGTACTGAAATGTCTGCTCTAGTAGTTCCTCAGCAGCAGAGAGAGAAAACTCGAATGCAAAGGAAGAGTTGCAGACTAAAGGAGTTGTGAATCAGTATAGAAACAAAAACAGGAGTGGGGAGGGGGGTACTGGGTTTTGTGGTTTTAATACTCTGCCTCTGTAATAGGAGATTTAAAAATGAAAAATATATTTCTCTGTCCAAGCCCTGCTGGCTGATTCCCTACAATTTTTTAAATGCAGTGTTCTCAGGAACCTGGCACTGAACCAGAATTTGCCCTATTTCAGGATTTTTTCTACCTCTTTGTGAAGCTTATTCTTCATAACTTTTGGAGGGTATGAGTCAAATAGAACTTGAAGCTGAACAGGAACTTTGCATACTTAAGCACTCAGAGTGTACTCTTGGGTCTTCTTACAAAATGAGATGGGTCTCCTGTGATGAAGAAAAAAGATTTAATCGTATAATTTAAGGTTTACTGGAAAAATAGTAGATGCTAAAAGTATGTGGGCAGCTCTGAGTATGGATTTCAAAACCTCAGAATACTTGAAGCTTCAATTTTTAACTTTATGCAATTATTCAGAGCTTTGTCTTCCCTGCTAGTGAAACAAGCATCATCTTGCTGGTTGGGCACTTGGTTAAAACACATCAGCATTCACACTAAGTCTATTGTCAAATTACTGAAGCTTTTTAATGAATTTTTTTTAATGTTTCTAGTCAGTATACCTGAAAACTAGTGCTTTTATAGAAAAAAATCATTCTGTTAATATCATCTATCATGAAAAATCTTTAATTTAGATAGATTTATTTTTTTTCACTGTGTTAATGAAATATTCAAGGCATAGATGTGTTCAGAAACAACTGTTCAGTTTTGCCTGTAGGTCAGATCTAGCTCTGCCTGGTGAGAGGAGAAGAAGCTTCACCTACAATGAGCAGAACTGGTCTCCCTTTGCTACAAGCTGTTGCAAACTTGGAAAGGACCTGAGGTGATTTTGTGTTCTACCCATGTACACTGGCAGAATATAATTATTTCATTTAGTTCAGCCCACCCTCCACATCAATACTGACTTGTTTTTCTGGTTTGATATTTACTTCTTTAGGCAACAATAAAGAACACGTGGGGTTTTCTTCCAGCTTCCTTTTGAAGAATATCCCTTCTGTGTTGGAAGCTTTACTTGAACTAATTGCCCTTTGGTTAAAACATGTAAGCTGTCATCGTCTTGTTAGAAGAGCATTTTAATACTGAAGATCAGAGTGAGTTCCTCTGTAGGATCCTTCCTACAGTTTTTCTTCCTGTCTAAATGGGAGGGAAGAAAATTGGAGAAAAGCTAAGCTGATTAAACTTAGGATGACTTAAGTCTGTTAAATTTGTCACTGATTCTTGATGTAAAATCAGTGTAACATGAGGGTTATCAGAAGCTTGCATGTCACTGTGTAGTTTGTTTGGATCAGATAGCTCTAATAATTCACTACTAAAAAGTAAGATTTTTTTTTTTGTCTCGTTAGATGTCAGGCAAGCACCTAAGGAAAGCCAATAAAGAAAATTTCCAAGTTTTGTTCACTAACCTGTACTTAAATCTTATGTGCTGCAGCTCTGAACTGTGAGTATTGCATGGAGCTGTGGAAGCAGTGCCTCAGTTTGATTTTGCATTACCTGAAGGAAGTTTAATCTGGATTTGGTAACAATTCCTTAAAAGAACTGATGGATATCGATGTATTTGAAACAATAAGTCCATATTTAATTTTACAAAGTACACTTAGCTGTGTGTATTATGTGTTAGAGAGGACTGTCATCTTCCGAATCTGCTTCACATTGTACGGAATAAAAACGTGTCCTTCCAGCACCCAAATGTTATGTGACTTGTGAGCATATTACTGCTATTTCTGTTTTTCTGGCACAAGAGAGCCCCTACAGTGATAACTCCTCCAGGGTTTATTGTCCCTAACAAGCTCTCTCTTAAACCTGCTGTGGCTGCAGATTCAAACTTCATAAACTGCCACTTCACTCTTAATTAGAAAAGGAACAGATGCACTTACTTAACACTATAAATATTTTAATGGCTTTTGCTTAGTACTAAGTTGTCCAAACGTTTCAAATGTTCTTGTGAATGAGAAAAATCATAATGTAACAGTGCTTGGGCGAGTTTTAGTGTAAGGAGTTGTTTTTGCTTAATGCCTGACTTTTTTTTTTTCCTTTTACCTTTTAACTTTTGGGAGAGCTTAGCATATAATTAGCACAGCATCTGTAATCCTGTAAGTTCCTTTCTACATTTGTGTTGAGAATTTGCTTAGTTTAAACATTACTTATAAGTGGTGGTAAATTTCAGACCAGTTGATTTAAATGTTAGTTTAAAAAAAATCCACAGATAAGATTACAAGTCTTAATGTGCTCTTAAGGAAAACTGCACGAGTTTCTTTGCCTTCTTTTCAGGTAGCAGGTACAGTAACAGCTTGGTCTTGTCCTTTTGTTCCCCTACTGAATCTCTGGGCAAACTGCTCAAAAATTCACGGAACTGTTCACTTAAAGCCAGCTATAACCACAGGTGTAAAGTTTCTGAGACTTTTCCCTTGGTCCCCCACCCACCCTCAGCATTCCAAGTGACTGAAGCCCAGCACAGTGAGCCAATAAAGCACAGAGAAGTTCAGCTGCTAAAGAAAGTGAAATGGGATTCTTGATCTGAGTCTGATTCTTGACTTTGTAAGAAAACAAGAGAAAAAAAATCCGCCTCTGAAAAACCAAAGCTGGACTCAGATAAATATCTCCAGGTAGTTGGAAGTCTTAGTTACTTCACTTGATGTCTTGTATCTGTCTTTCCAGTGGCTGATCCATGGATACCCACTGCCTGCCGAGAGCAAGGGCTGTCTCCTGAGGCAGCGGTTCAGCGTGAGCTGGAGGAGTTGCCTTGCAGGCTCACTGTGGTGCAGTGTCATCTCCAGGCTGACAACCCTTGTGTGCTATGGAAGAGAAAGGAGGTTGTGTGGCAGGAGGATGTAAGTTTCGAAAGAGGGGAAATGTTCCTATAGGTAGGTCTGTCAGTCTGGATTGATAGCTCCATATGGCTGTGGATTGAGGAGACTTTTTTCCCAAAGGTAACACAATAGCTGTTAAGGAGGATATACCATGGAGTGGTTAGGAATTGGGGGGTGTCAGGCACAGGACAGGGAAGGTTTGTAGTGCTTCAGTGAATTGTATAGTAACTTCCTTGTTGGGTATATACAATTCAGTGAATTGTATAGTAACTTCCTTGTTTTTAAGTTGATGGGCTTAGAAGAGTTTGCACTGTGGTTCAAGGTGATGCATTAACCTACATGTGAAGCCTGAAACACCTTTTAATTTTATTGGTTATCTTAAAGGACACAAAAGCAGAACTCAGTGAATAGCAACCTTCATTACATAAAACCCCTTCAATTTGACAGAGAAGTAGTGACCCCAAACTAAGAGTGTACCCAAATGCTTGTAGTTTTGAGAGTTTACCTCACCTAAAGCCAAGGCATTGCAGGGAAGCAGTAAAAGAAGGATCATTTGGGCACTGTAGTAATAAGGTACAAATTATACCGAAATGGCAGGGCAAGAGTGATAAGTATGTATTAAAGAAACAAGGTAAAGCAGCTGTTGGTGAATAATACTGGATATCATTTGGACTTCACTGTTTTGTCTGCATGGGAGAAGTCATGAAGGCATGTATTATGTTTGCTTCAGCCATGCTTGAGCCTTTCTTTAATAACAGAACCTGGGGAGGGCAAAAGGAAACAACAAAACAAAGCAGCCTTTCCAGCATTGGTCTGAAGATCTGCAGTGCTCTTGAACTTTAACATAGTTTGCAGTGACAAGTGTCTGCAGGCCCACTCAAGTAACTGGTCAGACACCTTAATCGGATTACAAATTTGAAATTTCCACACAGTGGAATGTGTCCAGAGTCCTGCTTCTTACGTGGGAGAAGGAAGGGATACTAATTGCAATTCTTTCTTACTACTTCTCTTCAAAGCTTAGTTCTGATTAGTAGTAGAAATAATTCTATTTGCTGTCTTTCCTTTACTAGTGTTTAGGTCCCCAGCTGTTCACACTTGGTAGTGTAATTAATAAGAGTATCAAAGATCCTCTTTGATAAGACCTTAGTTCTCAAAGACATTTCATTTATTGCTGGAGTGTGGGAGGATATGTAGAAGAAGACAACTTCCTTCTGCAACATCTGGCTGGGGGAGCAAAAGAAAAGATTTCTGTATTGCTAAAGCCTGTTGTGTTTGATCACCCATCACACACA